TGGTGTAGTGGTTAACCTTGTGCGGCTATAGCAGAGCATCTGGGTTTGAATCCTGATTCCACTTTTACCAGGCACATGTTCTTGAGCAAGGTACTTAACCGCCCTAAGCCTTGGTTTCTTCATCTGTGAAATGGGGCTATTGAAATCTTCCTTGAAATATTGTAGGGATGGATTATATTATCCAGGTAGAGCACTTAGCAGCCAGGTTTGACTCTCCCAGGGCCTCACAATAACTTAGAATAAGTTAATCAGAAAACTTGTGTAAGCTATTTAGTCAAAATCGCAAATAAGGTCAGACTGATATGTTAGTACTGGAAGGGATTAATGGTCTTAATTAGATGGCATGGAAGTAAGAGTTTTCACCCCCTCATCTAGGATGGATTTGGTGGATTCCATAGAAGCCGAACAAGATGACTTTTTAAAGTATAGATTTGTATTCCTACCTTCCTCAGGAATCTGCTAGTTTTCACGGTTGATGACATTCCTTTAAGGAACCATATCCCAATGAGCCATAGGACATGAAGAGCTGTCCTGGAGGTATGGCCGCAGGCCCTTTAAGTCGAACCTCCAAAATCATTCTCACTGTGGAGAGGTGCCTATACCTTAAGGAAACACACCTGGTCTTTTCTACTAGATTTTTGGGTTTTGTTTATCGTGCAGTAACCATTTTCCTCCATTGGTAGGGGAAAGTGAATCTGGAGAGGCTGGTTTAGAAAGGGCAAGGCTAATGTCTTTATGGCCATAGACCCCTTGCAGAAACATCACAGATGTGGCCGCAGGAAGCCAGTGATTGAAGTGAAAAGCCCAAATTTAATTTTGAGCCTGATGTTCAACCATTTTTCCTACATTGGGAGTTTTTATAATGGAAATTAGATATGAGGTGTTTTATCAATTGAGGAACATTTTTGTATTATGTAACTGCCTCTGGTTATGTAGGTGACTGAGGGACTAGGAACCCAAGAAGAGGGAGGAAAGTTATGGTCCTGCAAAGCCTGGGAAGATGCTGCTGTGTGTCACCCTGGTGAGCTGTTCTGCTGTTTGGTGTATACTCCTTTGTCCTTTGGTTTAAGATTAGGGGCTCAACAAACAGAATCGCAAAATAAAAGACAAAGGGCATGGAGAAGACTGTGAAATTCCTGAGTATGTGGAATGCAACATTTGGGTGTGTGTTGTCATCGTTGATCAATGGATATATACATTTTAGATTATGATAATAACATTTACTTATAACTATGGGAATTCCTCTGTTGTTGGTTATTGTGACTGAAACTTTAATCCTAACCTTAATACCTTCCTCTTCCACAAAAACAAGTCTTTTAATATCACAATTTTTGGCAAACCAGGTTATTTTTAGGAATCTACATATCCCATTATAGCAGAACAAACAGTAGTGTTGAAAGCTCTGAGAGTCTAATTCCAAATTACTATGAAAGCTTCGATCTGTTCTTTGTTTTGGTTTGTTGTTCACAGTGATCCTGCCCATGTTTATTACCATTTATGAACTGTGTTACCATCAAGGTATGTTAGAGTGTAGTGGTGACTTGATCTGTGTTCTAATGTTGAGAACCATCTCCATAAAATGTACACTCACTGACCTGGATGTGATTTTAGTTTCTGTCCACCATCTGCTTTTTTTTTTTTTTTTTTTTTTTGCGGTACACGGACCTCTCACTGCCGTGGCCTCTCCCGTTGTGGAGCACAGGCTCCGGACGCGCAGGCCCAGCGACCATGGTTCACGGGCGCAGCCTCTCCACGGCATGTGGGATCTTCCCGGACCGGGGCATGAACCCGTGTCCCCTGCATCGGCAGGTGGACTCTCAACCACTGCACCACCAGGGAAGCCCCCACCATCTGCTTCTAAAGCAAAACAGAGAAAGAGAAGGCACTGCAGTAACAGAGGTCAGGGAAGACCGTGGCTCCATGATGTGTAGTGCTGTAAGGGAACGTACTTCTGGTGATGATCGTGAGCTATTGAAGGGAAGGCCACATGGAGCAAATGAACCACTGGGGAGGGTGTGAGCACCTACTATGAGCTCAGCACTTTGGTAGGGGATGCACAAGAAAGCACAAGTGGTCTGTCTTCCATGACCTTCAAATTTGGGCGGAAAAATAAACCATGCATGGTTGGGGAGTCATTAAGCCCCTATGCAGGGCTCTGTGGAACTGAGTCCAAATGAGTGATGTGCCCTAGGAATTCAAAGCCAGGAGGCTGTCACTGTGGGCAGCACGGGGAAGGATGGGAAGAGTACCGTTAGGCACAGACAGGAGGACCAGAGAGCAAATTCTCCGGGAATTATTTTTCAAGAAGTGATATGGTCTGGAATTTTAACGAAATGAGTTCATCCTACTGAAGGTGCACTCCAGGAGAAAACCAAATCTTTGTGCATGGGGTCGTTTCAAAGAAAACAACAATCACCCCTCTTGTTTTGCTTTATCTGCTACTGGTATAATACCAGCATGACTCATAGAGGATTTTGACTTCTTCAGGTGCTTTTGGTTACACTGGCCTTCTACTGATAGCGTGGGAGACTGGAAATACTGCCTTTCTTCTGACAAAAGCATTTTTTCCCCATGGCCAGCTCTTCTTGAAATGACACTTCTTTCTTGTTTATCCATGGCTGGAAAACTACTCCTTGCATAGGGCTTCTTTGATAATGATAGCAGTTTTATTTGGAGGGAAGTTGTTCACGGGCTAAGAACTCTATCCCTTTATTTGGATTTTCTTATGTAATGTTTTTCTTTTGTTGCCTATGTTTGTACTTGTTCTTCCCTTCTGTACTTTTGCTCTTCTTGGTGGGATTGTCTGTCTTGGATTTTTGGCTTCTTCTGTAGTTCCATTTTTAGGAGAATTATCTTAGAATTCCTCATGTATGAGATATAGCTTCACTTTTCTACCTTTACCTTGTCAAATCTGAGGTTTCTGGTCCAATGCAAAATGGTACTGTCACTTTGGAAGGCAGTTTGGTGGTTTCTTTCAAAGCTAAGCATACTCTTCCCATACAATTCAGCAGTTGTGCTCTTTGGCATTTACTCCATAATTTGAAAACATATATCCACACAAGAATCTGCATATGGGTGTTTATAGCAGCTTTATTCATAACTGCCAAAACTTAAAGGCAACCAAGATGTCCTTCAGTAAGTGAATGAATAAGTAAACTGAAGTACATCCAGACAATAGAATATTATTCAGTGCTGAAAAGAAATGAGTTATCAAGCCATGAAAAAACATGGAAGAAATTGAAATGCGTATAACTTAAGTGAAAGAAGCCAATCTGAAAGAGGTTACATACTGTATGATTCCAACTATATACTGTTCCAGAAAAGGCAAAAATATGGAGACAGTAAAAAGATCAGTGGTTGCTAGGGGATAAAGGAAAGGGGAACGATAAATGGGTGGTGCACAAAGGATTATTAGGGCACTAAAAAGATGCTGTATGATACTATAATGATGGATCCATGTCCTTACACATTTGTCCAAACCCATAGACTGTACAACACCAAGAGTGAACCCTGATGTAAACTATGGGCTTTGGGTGATAATGATGTGTCCGTGGAGGTTTATCAATTGTAACAAATGTACCACTCTGATGGGGGAGGTAGATAATGGGGGAAGATATGCATCTGTAGGGACAGGAAGTATATGGGGAAATCTCTGCATCTTTCTCTCTGTTTTGCTGTGAGTCTAAAACTGCTCCTGCTGCTGCAAGAAAATAAGTCTTTAAATATGAAGGAACATCCAAGAATACCACTGATTTGGAGAAATTTAGTAAAGAGACTCCCGTATAAGCTTTGAAAATCATGTTATTCATATCTGTATGCAATGCCTTCCCTAGAATTTCTTAACTCACAATTTTACTTTCTAAAAAAGGTTCTGGCTAAATGTTTTCTCAGCAACTGATTTTTTTAAAAAAACAAAGAGGATAATAAAGGCTTTTAAAACTCCATTATAAAAGCAACATATCCTGTGCAGCTCAGGAGTAATAGTTCAGGAAGGGACCCCTCCAGTGGCAAGTCTACAACTCGCACGGTCCCTTCCACTGGTTATTGGAGGGACGCTTGAAAAGTATCTATAGAAGCATTGGATTTAATATTTGTAGTTAACAAACTTTATTTTGGTTTTAGATATCTGTAACATGCAAAATATGGTAGGTTTTAGGTGTAGATTAAATATGACATATTTTCTATATAGGGCTGGCAAGTCTAGTAGACCCAAAAGAGGATACAAGGTACAAGTGGGCATATATATCTATCTGCGAACGCATATATAGTATGGACATCTTTCCAGTGGACTCAGAGGTGGACCTTGGCTGTGGACCCACAAGGAGAGATGCTGGGGGCTGGCCATGAAGGGGAGGGGCGTTGAGATGAGGGAGGGAAAGGAGTGGGACAGCTTTCAAGCTGGACTGCAGAGCCGAATGGGACAATGACAGGCCCTCTGAGCCTCCAGAATATAGATCCCCCTCCCTCCCTTCCACATCCCCCCACCCCCCCACCCCCCCACCCCCCCCCCCCACCCCCCACCTCCAAAGCACTGGAGAAGAGGCTCCGTGAGTGAGCTGCATATTAGGTGACAGGACAAATGGGCAATTGACTTAATCTCCCTGACCTCCAGTTCCTTATCTTTCCCATGAAGAAGTTGGATTGAAGCTGTGAATTTTCAAACTTTTCTTTTTTAAGAGTGATGCTTTTTGTTTTTTGCAATTTTGAAGTAAAAGATAAAATATCCATACAGAAAAATTTTGAAGGATGAGAAACAAAACATTACTAGCATCCGAAAATTTCCCATAGTTGCCACCCACCCTGAGTCCTGATTACAACCTTCTCTCACCCCACAAAGGAAATATTCTTGAGACTTTTGTGATAATCATTCATTTGCTTCTTCCTAAATTTTATTGCCTGTATGTATACCTCTAAAAAATATAGATTCATTTTGCTGGTTTAAAAATTTTATATAAATGCAATAATTCTGTTTTCTTTTTTGTCTTACCTTTTTCATCCAGCATTGTGTTTGCAAGTTCATCCATGTTGTGGCACAAATCTCTGGCTTATTAATTTCTACTGCTGTATAGTCTCCCATTGTATGAATTCACCACAATGTATCAATCCATTGTACTAAGGATGGACATTTGAATTGCTTCTGATTTGGAGCCATTATGGACAACAGTGCTGTGAACATTCATATACATGCAGTCTGGGGTACACAGGTACACATTTCTCCAGGATACATATCTAAGGAGCAGAATTGCTGGTCATAGGGTATGCATGCCTCAAATTGTTTTTCAATGTGCTTATAGTAGCTCTTTTCCTCCCTAAACCAAACCTGATGCATAAGGAAATAAAGTAGATGACAGCACAGCTCTGATCGAAGCAGGGAGCAGTCCCAGGGCTAGCTTCCTCTGTATGGTGCTCTTGTTGGTGCTTTCTTGTGGGTCTAACACACCCTGTTCTCCAACATTCTATTTGCTTCTATATTCCCTCTGTTGCTTTAAAAGACAAGGGATTCCAGTGATTTCCCATTCCAAGGGCAAGGAGAGATTCTGGCCTTCTGAACCCACAAATAGCATTTCTACTAAGGATTATTTTAATTTAGAATCCCAAGATTCTACTTTTAAAATAGGTATTTCCTTAGACCCTCCCTAAAGAAATTCCTATTGAATAAATAAAATTTTTAAAAATGCATAAGATACTCCTCCTGGGCCTATCTGTCTTTATTATGTTCCTGAATTAGCTTGACTTGGGTCTTGGCTGGAAGTAGAAAAATTATATCCAACAGTTATGTAAGAGAATAGCTGAAAGCAATTGGATTAAAATATTTGAGCAGGTTAAGCCCAGAGAGGATATATCAAAATGTTGAGTACCGCTGGGGGTGTAAGGAGGATATCTGTACAGCATCTGATGTACTTGGATGTTGACTCTCTCATGGTCAGGAATCCATGGTGGTGGTTTAAGGTTTAAAGGGAATTCATGTTGTTAGGAGTTATTATCCCCATCAAAATGGCAAAACATCGAAATGGAGACTTTTCTCGATGCTGTCTTTTGCCAAAACCGTAATAGTAAAGCAGGATTGAGGCTGGAACAGTCTGGGCAGTAGACAGGCCAATGCATGTAATGCATATGATTAAAAATAGTTAGCACAAAGAAATGGTTGTTATTGTGCTTTGTCCAAGTTGGACTTAGTAACTAATTAAGTATAAGCTCCTTCTTCTTCTTCTTTTTTTTCCCCATGGCCATATGCAGTTTTTGAATTCTTAAAACACAAACTTTTTAGAAGAAGAAGTTAAATACAGAATGCATTGAGTTTGGTAGAGAAAGTTTAAAGGTCTGCGTTTTCCCACCAAAGCTATTTAATATCAGCTGCAGAGTGGGTGTGTGTGTGTGTGGAAAGGTTGTGACCTCCCTTATTTTTACAACCATTGCCATGATTTCATAATACTGGCAGCAGTCACCCAGAGTGAAATAGACTTTATTACAGTAATTATATGCCAGAATGTGGGTATTAAAACAGAAAAACTTTTCTACTGATAATAAATGTCAAGGGAAAAATGACTTTACCCAACAACTAGCCCTTCATCAGTGTTTTTAATGTATTAATGGCCTCAGTGAAGATGGAGACGTGTCCACAGGGATAGAAGTTCAGACTCCATATAGCTTTTTTGCCTTATTTGCAGAATGTTAAGTAGGGCAGTTGAAAGATAGAGGCATGTTTTAGCAAGTTAGGTTTATTTTTCTCCATGGCATAAAGTCATATATTTTCACTTGAGCAGATATAGCTATTGTTTTGGCAGATTGATTAATTATGGCCGTAACTGAATTAGTCTATTGTTTCTAGATCACTTCATTGATTTTCCCTGTTTTGGTGGGTTTTTGAGAACTGGGAGAAGTAATGCAGCATGAGAATTTTATCTTGAAATATGGTAGTTTTCTGAATATTAAAAAGAAAAAGCTCAAATAAGGACAATGAAAGATTTGAATAAGTATCAGAAGGTATAACTTTTTGAAAATGACCATATCTAAATTATAGGCTTGTGGCTGCTAAATTATACTCATCTAGCATTAAGTGTGGGGTTTATCAGTACGTCTCTGAAATAATAAACATGGTCTAAATGTGGAAAGTATACCTCAGGAAAACATTTAATCCACTTCGCAATTAAATTTAGTGAAAGGTTGATTAATTCCAAGAAATACTAAAATTATAGTACTTCTTATCTTTGATTTCAAGGGACTTTGAAGTGGGCAGCTGGACTTTTCTCCAAAGTGCCCTATTAGCTGGCATAGAGAAAGAATATATGCAGAAAACCAGTAGCAAAACTCAGAGCAAAATATGGGCTCCCAGCCTCCATTATGTAAGAGTCTAAAGGTCATACTTTTCTTGGATTTTTACACACTGTTGGAAGGTGACCTCCACTTTTCTCCATTAGTGTTTATTCCTGCATACAGTTGGTGCTTAACAGATTCAAGGGGCTGATGAAGATGATTTTCATTTGGCGCCTGCTCTAGACTTCTGCTTGGCCACATGGAAGGATCTGGGTTCAGAATCTCCTGGAGTGAGTTGACTGTTGATGGTGACCTGGGGCAGCATCTCAGAGGAGCCATAGGCCTGCCGGCAGTCATCAATCACTGACTCACAACAGCCTTAGGTGCTTGCTACTCCCACGCAGTCTCATTGCTCAAAATCGAGACCAGTCCTCCGAACAGGACACTGATTCCTCTTATGTGTTTTCTCTGTTTTCTGCAGCGGGTTTGTCTTTAACAATGAGCCATTCATGGGCACCCAGGGAGCTACCCAGGACCAGGGAGACGGCTGCAGGCCCCTGCAGGCAGCTGGCCATGTTCCAGTCCAGATATTCTTGGGAATGTGGAATTATTTGAATCAAAGGGAAATAAATCTTTTGCAAATGTTAATACAAATGACTGTGGGAAGGGCTTGCTGCTAAAAGAGAAGCTGAGAATTCTTGGTGCCTACTGAGTTATTTTTTGGCAGGCAATACTACTAGGTTGCTATGGGAATGATGAAGACAAAATAATAGTCATATTTTTAATGATTGCTCTTACTGTGTCATCTTCAACTGCCCTAGGTTGAAAAAACTTCTGCTTGGGGCTGCCCTGGTGGTGCAGTGGTTAAGAATCCACCTGCCAATGCAGGGGACATGGGTTAGATCCCTGGTCTGGGAAGATCCCACGTGCCACAGAGCAACTAAACCTGTGCGCCACAACTACTGAGCCCATGCGCCACAACTACTGAAGCCTGTGCGCCTAGAGCCAGTGCTCTGCAACAAGAGAAGCCAACGCAATGAGAAGCCCACGCACTGCAACAAAGAGTATCCCTGGGCTTCCCTGGTGGCGCAGTGGTTGAGAGTCCGCTGGCCGATGCAGGGGACACGGGTTTGTGCCCCGGTCCGGGAAGATCCCACATGCCGCGGAGCGGCTGGGCCCGTGAGCCATGGCCGCTGAGCCTGCGTGTCCAGAGCCTGTGCTCCTCAATGGGAGAGGCCACAACAGTGAGAGGCCCGCGTACTGCAAAAAAAAAAAAAAAAGAGTAGCCCTTCTCACCATAACTAGAGAAAGGCCACTCTCGGCAACGAAGACCCAGCACAGCAACAAAGACCCGACGCAGCCAAAAAAAAAATTTTAAAAAAAACAACAAAAAACTTCTGCTTGAATCACTTTGACTACTCTTGTGTTATGTTTTGCTTCTTTTTCTCCTGTACTTATGTTTGCAAACATATCTCTCTAAATCAGTTCATCGATCCAGCCGTACCATATTTTCTTTGAGCATAAAGGAACCATTACTTTTGAAGTTTATATCTTTGACTATATGCTTTCTGTGTCCTAGGTTTCAGTTAGAAGAGCTGTAGCCTGGGGACCCGAAATTCTGTGCACTTTTCTGATGGGATGGAGAGGGAAACTGTGCAGTATGGGACAAAGGTCAGCTGACCTGGGGCAAGTTTCCCCTTTGCCACAACTGGCTGTGCCACCTCAGGGCGATTAGTAAACGTTCCTGAACTCAGTTTCTGCATTTGTAAAATGGGGCTCATTATACTACCGCTGGAGTGTTGTTAGCCCCACTGAAAATGTATGTAGAGTCCTATTACAGGGATCATGAATACCTAGCAGATACGAAGCCAGAACTTCTCATTCTGTGTCCATGGCAGAAACTGCGACTCAATCTTTTTCCTTAAGCTAAGAGGCAGGCTTAGACTCCTCAACACAATGCTCCAGGTAAGCGCTATCAATCCGTCAGAGCTGGCATGGGAGATGTGACAAAGCACAATCCTTGGTACTTGATAGACACTCAGTAGGTGGTAGTTCTTAATTGTTACTATTCTTTTATTATTACTATTCACAGTAGGTTGTGGATATGACAGCAGGAGACACAGGCAGCTACTTTTTACTTTGCCCATTATAACTGAGCTTGCATCCAGAACCAGCAGCTTTGGATACAGCTGATCACTCACCTAACTAGAAAATACTGGTCTCTGATCTTCGTATCTCTCTCTTGGTCCCTTCCTCCACCTTCTTTGCTGGTTCCTCCTCACCTTACTGACCTCCAAATACTGGAGTGTCTCAAGGCCCCTTTTCTCTTTCTTTTTTTTTTGCGGTACGCAGGCCTCTCACTGTCGTGGCCTCTCCCGTTGCAGAGCACAGGCTCCAGACGTGCAGGCTCAGAGGCCATGGCTCATGGGCCCAGCCGCTCTGCGGCATGTGGGATCTTCCCGGACCGGGGCACGAACCCGTGTCCCCTGCATCGGCAGGCGGACTCTCAACCACTGCGCCACCAGGGAAGCCCCCTTTTTTCTTTTTTAATCCACCTTCACTATGATCTCATTTGATCTCATGGCTTTCAATATCATCCAGATGCTAACAATAACAACATTTGTATATCCGGTCTAGATTTTAGCTCTGAACTCTACTGTATATTCAACTGCATTCTTAAGACACATTTCTAATAGGATGTGTCTGAAATAGGATGTATCTATTAATTGGATATCTAAGAGGCATCTCCAGCCATACAAGTTTAGCATTGAACTACTGATTCATGATCCCCTCCCCTGCAAATCACTCCTCCCATAGGCTTTCTCATTGTAGCAAATGGCAATTCCCCCCAAGAGTTTCTCAAGAGGAAAAGCTTGAAGTCATGGATTCTTCTCTTTTCCTCACAAGCCACGTCCAATTCACCAAGAAGTCCCATGGTTGTACCTCCAAGGATCTTACTCCTTCTTACAACCTCTACCACTACCATCATGGTCCAAGCCACCATCATGTCTCACCTGGATTATTGTCAGAGCCAATAATAGGCTACAATTGTTTTTCAACACGTAGGTAACGTGATTCTTTTAAAGGGAAATCAGACCATGTCACTCCTCTGTTCCACGTCTTCCACTGCCTTTTCATCTCACCTTGAGTACAAGTCAAATCCCCTACATTGCTCTAAAAGGTCCCACACAGTTGGCCTCAACCACCTTTCAGACACCATCTCCTTCCACTGCCCCCTCACTCATTTTACGCTAGCCACACTGGCCTTCATGCTGTTCCAAGTACACGCCGCTCCTGCTTCAGGTCTTTGCACTTGTTGGCTCTCTGCTTTGAAAGCACTTCCTTCAGATACACACAGAGCTTGCGTTCTCATTTCTTTCATCCCTGTTATTCAGCAAGGCCATCTTAAATATAAACCATAGCAACTACCCTCCCTACCTCTTCAGTCGGGCACCTACTGTCCCACCTCCTCTACTTCCTTTTTCTCCATGGCACTTATCAACTTCTGACATATTATGGCTTTGCTTGTTTCTTTATTAGAATGTAACATCCAAGAGGGCAGGACCTTTGTTCCCTGCTGTATCTCCAGCACCTAGAAAGTTCTGGGCGCATAGTAAGCCGTTTTTGCTAAACTATTAAACGAATGAAACAAATGGCTCTAAAGCTTGAGTTTTTCTGAATTATTATTGGAATAGTTCTTTACAGGATCACATAGAGTTTATACAACTTCCTACATTTGATTAATTCTAGCGATCTTATTATCTCAGTATATTTACCACTAAGAGCAGAAGAGCAGTACGGCTACTGTAACCATGAGTAAAAATATCTGTGTTTACTGTAGTCTTTCAGTATCCTGATTTATTTATTTTGGTAAATAGAGACAGAATACAACATGGAAAAATGCTGAACATTTCTAGTTGATCTTCTTGAAGCTTACCAACTTTGGGTGGTTATAAAACACACACAGATATTTAAAATTGCCCAGATGCTACCTGGCTGTGTTTGTACTGGGCTGGGCTTAATTGGTGGCTCCTGAATTTCTATAAAGGAGTGCTAATCTGGTTGGAAAGGAGATGTGGGTCTTCAAACCTTATTGATGTGGTTATAAGACCATGTGAAAAAGATCAGTTGCCCATCTCATAGAATGAAGGAGTGGTGAAGCCTGCTGGATGGGGTTTGAGGCAGAGGAGGAAGGTACCAAAGCTCTCTCTGAGAAGCATAAACATACGGGATTTAGTCTTAAGTAAGTATACGACTTCAAAGCAGTCATTTAATTTCTTTTGGCCTCAGTTTCCACGTCAATAAAGTGAGGAACTTAGAATACAGCAAGTATAAGGTTAATTCCAACCCTGTCTTTGGGTGGTATCATGAAAGGTCTCAGATTCAGACTCAGATATAACCTGCATTTAAACTGGAAATCTCTCTGAGGTCCAGTTTCTTTTTCTGTAAAGTGAATAAGTTTGGCTAAAACAGACTCTAAGGTTTTTCTCAAGTCTAACATTCTTTGCTTTGATTGTGCTTTTGGATTTTTTTTTCTTACTCTGGTGAAATTAAACCTCTTACTTTTTTTTTTGTTTGTTTTTTTGGTTTCTTTGAGGCTGTGGTCACACACAAACTGTGAGGCTATGTCACACACTTGTAGATGTAGTGTGCATACTTTGCTGTTGGTGAACACTAACTCTGCTTTTTGGCAGAGTGTGGAGCAGAGGTGGATCTGTGTGGTTTGTTTTATGCTCTAAACTTGACAGTGAGAGGACAGGAAATGGTCCATGGAGAAAATGGTGACAAAATATGTCTTTAACCTCAATTCTGCTCAATTGACATTAGAAACTGTAGCATTTTAAAACTGTGCGTTTCCACTTCACTTAATTCCCATTCCTTTGCCTCCTTTTAGGGCATCTAGGTGGATGATTCAGGCCGGGAAGCTCTTCAGTCAGCTGAACGACAAAAAGGACCTGGTCACGCCTGTGACTTAGCTCCGTGCCTCAGTTACAGGTACAGAGAAATGGAGGAAATAGAAACTGCTACGTCCGTTGAGCACTATGTTTGAGATTTTTTGATAACAGACTTCACAAAAGGGACAATGTTAATCTTTAACAAATGTGTGTGTTGTGCATGGGGTCAGGGCCCTGGAAAGATAGCTATCAAATCTGCAACCCTTTCTAACACAACTTTATAGGTGAAAACTCTTTGAGAAGAATTATCAGAAAGGAAAAAACAATGGTATAACTGATTAATTATGGGTTTACATCTTACTTTTGATCAATTTAACATCATTTTCACTCACAAAGCTTGTTCTTCTAAATTCAGTTTGACAGACATATATATATAATGCATCTGCTGTGGGCCAGCATCCTCTCCCCAGGCCTTTCACATCCACTGTTCTATTTCATTCTCTCTCTTTTTTTTTAACGTCTTTATTGGAGTATAATTTCTTTACAGTGTTGTGTTAGTTTCTGTTGTATAACAAAGTGACTCAGCTATATGTATAGATATATCCCCATATGCCCTCCCTCTTGCGTCTCCCTCCCACCCTCCCTATCCCACCCCTCTAGGTGGTCACAAAGCACAGAGCTGATCTCCCTGTGCTGTGCAGCCGCTTCCCACTAGCTATCTGTTTTACATTTGGTAGTGTATATATGTCCATGCCACGTTCTCACTTCATCCCAACTTACCCTTCCCCGTCCCCGTGTCCTCAAGTCCATTCTCTATGTCTGCATCATTATTCCTCCCCTGTCCCTAGGTTCTTCAGAATCATT